TGACAATAAACCTTAATTTATGGAATAAATTTTCGCTTTGAATAATTAAGCAAAAAGTTTTAGTTTTTAGTTTTTTTTTCACGTATTTTCTATTTTTATTAGCTTTTTGTTTATATTCTCATTTCTATAGATTTTTTTTCAGCAAAAAAAAACTATGCCTGCCAGACATACTGCCGCCGTTTTATTTTTCTTTTGAAATAAATTACAAAAAAATTAAAAATTACTGCAAAACTAATTACAAAGAATATTGTTTTTTTTATTGTTAATAATGTTAATAACCTTTGTTAATTTTTATACAAAAATAAGAAAAGTGAAAACCTTTGGCTTTGCCGATGTTTACTTACTCTTTACATACACTTATTTGGAGTTCATTAATAAATTAATTCTTATTTACAATTATTAAATTAAATCATTATTATATTATTAATAATGAAAAAATCTTATACACCATTTATTTAATTTCATTAAGTCACATTGTATTACTACATTAGATTTTTACGCGTTTAATTTATGAAGTAAACCGCTTTAAAGAATTTTAACAAGACATTTTATCATTTTATTCTTAACTATTACACTAGGTGGAAGATTAACCCCATTAAGATTTTGGCCATAGTTTTTCAATATCAAAGGTGAGATCGCCCTAGTCGCTTTGATGCCAAGCTAAAGTTATCAAGCTAAAGTTCGACATACTCCCTTTCAGCTTGTTGACAACCTCAAGTATCTCGGTGTTATACTAACTCTTCGGCACAACTTTATTCCACACGGTGTCTGTCCCCTTTGTAAGTACAACCAGCTTAACTGTGAAGTTAAACTCCTCTGCTATAAACAGCTCATTCAATCCATATTCTCGTACGCCTTGGTCTATGATCACTTCTGCCGAGATAGAAAGAATCCGTTTTTACGACCACCAGCTTCTACGTGATCGCACTAACTTAAAGCGGTAGCTCGATAGCACGCACTTCACCGACTCCGTTCTTTACGACAAAGCTGAAGTTACTCCAATCAACCATTACCTTCTAACACTCACCCGGCTACATAACTCTCACCCGACGTCTCAACCCCAAACACCCTCCCCTCCTGCCTCCCTCGTCCAAACCATGTGCTAAAAACCTTCCCAATACCTCACACTATACTTCTATAAGAGCCTTTCTGATGGCTCCATCATCCCACTCTATAACAAAAAGTTTCGTGGTCGTGGTCACAGAGTTTACCACTAACCCACCCTACCTGCTTGCACAATAAGTAACTCCCTTCACTTAATCCTCTCCACCTGTGCTACACTCTACTTTCTACCTTAGATAAAGTTAAGCCTCTTGATCACATCTCTCTCCCTTAATTACTGGAGTTAAGATTCCACATTGCGGTGGAAATATCCATTCATTCCTAAGAGGTGATTTTAGTGGGTTAATGTTTCACACTCTGGCTGTTTAATTTTTCACCTACTGCAAAAAAAAATGTGCAGCTATCAGGAGTTAACTACTGATATTAATCATTCCGTCAACTTTTACAGAATAACTTCAAACAAATGGACATAACTTGATCTATGTCATAACTCGATATAAGCAACTATGCAAACTTAATAAACCATTTCACACTGTGTGTAAGGGGTACAAAAAAACCGCTTAGGTAATGAACACAAAAGTGCAGTCAATAACCAACAATTCTTTTCTTCTTTGTTTTATAATTTTTTGTTTGTTTTCTTTAAATTGTTTGTTTTAGTTATTTGAAACTTAGAATATAGCTGAATCATATACATAATAAATCTCAAATGTAGTCGTAGTGTATGAATTCAGAGAATGAGATCTTCAACAGCTATAAACTTACAGATTAAATATGATGATGCTTAAATATTACTTTTTCATCAGACTATGTTTTAGTGCATTGAAGGAATATTAATTCTCTATGTGGATACTGTCAATTTATTTATTCCTTTTAAAATAATCTATGGGTCACATATTTATTATATTGATATTGCTTTAACTATATCTAAAATATTTATAAAATATCAACAAAATATATAAAATATTTATATATAAATAAAATAAAGTATAGCTCTTGCCCATAATCTCTATGAATTGAATTAACAGGAATACAGAGAACAATAATAACTCGGTTTGTTCCAAAAGTCTAACAGTTACAGGTGGAGCGATATCCACACATTTTAAACTTATCTGGATAATAATTTAAATAGAATGTAAAACTGTACTGTATAGTTAGATAGTTAGGCATGATTTTGAAATCTGCCACAGATGGCGCTAATGATATGAACCTTGGCACAAACAACACTTTATATAGTTTTTACAATTCTCAGGTACAAAATAAGCGTTTGCTATCATTAGTAGATAATATTTAGAATACTTTTATTAAAATTTTATTTATTCCGATGAGAAACTGGATAAGTTCATGAAATACTTGTAAAAGTCAAAATGATAAATTTGATTATTTTTATTTTCACTGAGAAATGAAGAAATAATTGCAAACATTTAACTAAAACAATGGATAGAAATATTATGCTGTGGTCGATATCTTAATCATTTTTTCATTTTGAATGGGAATATGAATTTTTTTGAAACCATAATTTGATAAGAAACTCAGACATATTTAACTTTTGTATACCTCAAATTATCAGCGGTTATTTAAAGGTTTTTACGTTTAAACTAATTTTTAGACTAATTAAAAAAAAAAATAAAAAGAAAGCGGAACATATTACAATAATACATAATAGCATAATAATATTTTTTATAATATTTTGATGAAATTCTGATTCATACTTGATCTTGATCCACCTTCAGAAAAAAGTCACTACAGATATAGTTTATGTTCTTAGGCAGAGATTTAAATAAAATCTATAATATATATATTTATATATATAATGAATTAAAAAAATATATGTTTTTAAACTTTAATCACCACACTTCACTTCACCCCGAATATATTATTCTTCTCTAGTATCTTTAATAAAAAATTAATTAAATTTATTGTTTTCATCAATCAAAAAATATTTCCATCAAACGCAATTATTACATTCATGAGTGAAATAAATTAGAATTCAATTAAACTAACAGTGAATTTATTTTGATGTAGAATAAATATTTATTGGACTTTTATTCTGTTAAACAAATAATATAAGCACAAGTCGAAGCGGCCGTTTATAGTAAGCGAGTGTGTGAAACTAATTGATTGTGTGGCTTGTGGCGCTCAAACCAAAACACTTAATTATGTTATGCCAAGTTAACACAATGTTAAGTATAACAGTCACGCATTTCTCTATGTTAATGCGGAATGTGTCGCTATATAAATAATCAACATAAAATAAACAATATACATAGGTACATTAAAAATCGTAAATAAATTTATTAAATTAAATTTAATATAATATTACTAAAAATTTTATTTATTACAAATCTAATATAAAAACATAAATAGGAGAAACATCGATCCCCAGCAACAGGGGCGAATTGTTTATGTGTATATAAAAATTTTTTGTATGTTAAAATAATTTAATATCACAACTTAGCATAATATACTACAAATCAAGTAATCATTTCATACCTGTGGGATCTGTGGGAAAGACGATGAGAATGCCTCTCATCTACTCTTTGCCGAACTCAGCACGGCGGCAAATCAACACTTGAAGATCGTGATCAATTGCAAAACCTGACACTTGACAGCATTTTCATTTTCAACTTCTTAAGGTTCTAGGTGGTTTCAAACCCTGAATTTTCCTATACATACAGTAACACAATGGGCCAATAGGCCTAAGAGGATCGCCGGTATAACCTAATCTAACCTAAGTACTTATTCATTTGAACGTTTAATTAATATTATATTAAAATAAAATTATTATATAAATAATTTCAATACTCATATACTCGATATTATTGCATTGCTAAGCTTAAATGATCTGACACCACTGTAAATACCTGCTGCTTACATATTGCAAATAATGGAAACTTCAGCAAGTTAATTTGTACTTATTTGGATTTAGTCAATACAGCCAACACACTTTTCCCAAGGTTGTTACCATTCTTGTAGGCACAAATATTTAAGAATCTTCGTATCCATGACTTAAATGAAAGACTGTTTATGAATTCGTATAAATAGTTAAACTTTACTGCTGTTACTTACATACCAATGTTAAAATGCTGTTATGTATTAATATACATTTCTTATGCAAGCATTTGTGCATTGTCAGAGGAGTATGTATCTCTGCATTGCTTTGCATTTATGCTAATCAACAAATATAAAAACAAACTAAAAAACCAATTAACTAATAACAGTTCAACAAGTAGAAAAACTAATTAAAATATAAATTATGCACACTGCTAACCCAAGCGAGAGGTAGGCATTAATTACTTTTGTTTTCACTCATTTTCATGCCATTTTGTCAGTCAACAGTCAAGCTAGTGGTAGCTTTTTCTTTTCTTTTAAACAGACGTGAACTGCATACTTAATGTTTACGTTACGGCCCATGTCTGTTATTCTTTGTGGAATTGTGAGGATAAATTGAGCGAGACCGAAGACATGCCAATCTGTTTGTGTTTTGAAAAAAGAAAAACGAAAAAGATTTTTGTTTTTTGTAAATAAATTTGCAAATATATTTATTTACTGTTTTCTTATATGGTCATCAATTGCCACTTAAAATAATTAAGTTCCCTTAATCGGAATATTAATTGAGGAAAGTACATATGCTTACATATAAACTCTAAATAATAAATTCAACCACATAACTGAAAAATTATTGAAAAAGATTTAAACTATATTATCATACTAACATCTTTTAAATAACACAAAATATTGATTCCAGTTTCCAAACGAAAGTTTTATTAAATAATTTTCTTAACATTATATTATATATACATTATATATATATATATATAATTGATGGTTTTACTTATTTGTATATATTAATATTTAACTTTTGTCACGAAGCCACAATTTAATAAATTTAATTTTTAAGGATTTCATAGCACAATTAAAACTAAAAATTTTTTCTTCACATTAAAATTTAAGCATTTGCAAATTCAGTTTAAAAAATAAATAACTGTGTGTATCTCACAAAAAATATATTACAGTATCTCTAAATCACAGTGACGGATTTCGGGAAACTTTTTCTGAAATGGGTATAAAAATTTTATTGTACATTATGATCGATTATGATCCAAGCTCATAATAAACTTACCCGCAATTTCATTTCAATTCGATCTATTTCTCCGCCCATTAAATCAACTATGCTTTCGCCATGTGTCAATAAAAACTGCTCTAGTTCCTCAGGAGATTTAAACTCTTTTACAATCTAAAAAAACAAAAGTTATTTGCAAAGCATGAATTTAAAGTAAAAGTCAATACTTTATAAAGTTCATTTAAATCCTGTTTATCCAAATAAGAACGCGTTAATTCACGCCCATCGAAATCCAATTCAGCCTACAGACAGGGATATATTTTTTTTATTTGGCCTTTTTATTTGACATATATTTCACTAAAACTACAAACCTTGTAACGCACTAAACTGTTACCCATGTCAATGCCTTTAACGTCATGTATAGCACGTATCATAACATCAGTTTCAAGTTCTGTATTTATTCTATTTAATTGCTCCTCGGATATAGATCTATCGGGAATTTTATGTTATACATCATTAAAATGATTGTTTTAAAAATTAATTGAAGGACTTTTAATTAAAAATTATATTTAAAAGTTTTACATATAATATCTCTACTTTTCTCATTTAATTAAATTAATCTATTAACTTACTTGCCCACAAGTGCATTAACATTGGTGTAAATAATAAATGAAGCTACGGCACCAAGCATACAACCAACTATTAACGAGCCAATTGCATCATAAACTCCTGAACCAGTAATTGATGTTAAGCCCATACAACTAGCAGCTAAAATTACACTAGCAACCGCGGCTGTGTCTTCTGTTAATACAACATTAACACATGGATCCCGACCAGAGAGCACTAAGTTTAACAAAATTTTAATATATAAAGTGTAGATTAGAAAATGCAATTGATTTTGTTTACCATATTCCCTAAAAGATTCACCACGTAATTTTGCGGAACGCCGTATTTCATTGACAGCCACTAACAATGTAGCGCCTTCAGATACTAATGAACCACCAAGTATACAAAATGCCCAAAACAAATTATCAATAGGCACTGGATCCAGAAGACCAGTTATACCATGATAAAATGATAAACCTGTACCAACACAAAATATTCCAACTCCTGATATAAGAGATGACACATATTTCATATTTGCATAACCATAAGGGTGATCAGGATCAGCTATCTGAAAATAATTTCGACAGTTTTAACATAAAAAAAAAACGAATTATTTTAAACAAAAGTAACCTGTGTAGATTTGTGTATACCATAGGCCAAGATTAGTTGGTTAATTGTATCAGCTAATGAGTGTATCGCCTCTGCAAACATACTATGTGAACCCGTATAAACCCATGCACATGTTTTAAAAAGAAAATTAATACCATTTCTGAAAAATGAAGTTTAATTATTTTATATAATAAAACTTTTACTAACATATAATTAATATTATACTATTTCATTAAACTTTTACTAATATATCATTAACATTGTACTAACATTCCAACAGCAATTAGCACTACCCTTCCTGACTTTCCTGACAAACCAGGCTCCTCATTCATAACGACTGTGCGGGCACCAACTTCTCGTCTATAATCCCTCAAACGTCGCTTAATTGTAAATAAATCTAAGTTAAAAATATATGAATTCAAGTTGTCATTTGACATCATTGATGTTAAGTACTAAAGTACTAACTTTGTTGATGCTGTTTTCTTTCGATTTCTCGTAACAACGATGCTCGTAAAAGATTTTCACGTGAACCCCAAACTTCTAATGCCTTTGCTTCAACATCCCTTCGCCAATACACAGTTATGGGAGGCTCCTGTTCATATGGCGAACGCCGTTTAACCTTTTGTAAGGACTCTAAATCAGAAGCTTTAAGCAAAAAATCAGTCATAGCACGTGATGGTGTAATAAAGTTGCGTTCCAATGAAGAACGATTGCAATCGACTTTAACACGTTGCTATTAAATAAAAAGTGTTGCACATAAATATACCCAGTCTTTGTCATAAAACCTTTGGGCAATACTCACAGGTTTTGGTTTATTCTCTGTGTTTGTTATAGATTCTTCCGACGAATGTTCTGATGATGACGCTTTAGTTGTCGTAGTTTCTTTCTCGTTGACGCTTAATTTTTGATTGCAATCAGTTTGAAATGAGTCTTCATCAATTACTATTTCGTTTTTTGCAGCCGGCGCAGATGCTGCAGTTAATGTTGGCTGTTGTGGAATTGATTTCGTTTTTTCAAATACTACATCATTTATTTTAGAATCTTCAATAGTCGTCGTCATGGAAAGCGTCCCTTTACTCGTTTGAACATCAACTTTTTTGGTTTCCTTATGCGCTGAATTTTCTGGCTTTTTATCATTATTATCACTGACAGACGATGCAGGCACATTTATTTTCTTTGGTTCTGTACCAGTTTTTTGAGCAGTTTTAGTTTTGGTAACGCCTTCGTTTTCACTTGAATTTGAACTAGACGAAGTGGAATTTGGTGCTGCACGTATCTAAATCACATATAAAAAACATTCTACATATAAACTACAAACACATTTATCAAATACATTTTTACCTCTGGATTTTTGCTTACAAAAGCTCTTCTGCAAATAATAGATTTTCTATGTACATTTTGAGACTCATTCGGCATTCTTCTTAAAGGACATTCCATAATGGTTGCATTGCTTAATAAAAAGTAGGAGTGCTGGAACAAAGAATAAGATTTTAAAATTCTCTCGTATAAACGATTACAAACCTACCAAAATTTTATTAGAAAATTTACGACCTACAACGCGCTGCCGCAAATGTAACAATTGCCTTACATTTGCGGCAGCTATACATCTGAGAAGCATTTCAACTGTCTGAAATTAATTCAGTAAGTACTATCACTTAGTGTATACCAGTGCTGTTAGAAAATTTTTTGATGAGTAGTTAATTTGAAAACCCGTTGTTTCCTATTTTTAGACTGCTGAAAGCAAATTACATTAGTTTTATTTAATGAAAAATTATTTTGTAGTCTTTGAAAATGTTGAATTATTACCAAAACAATTTGTTAAAAATTTTCTTCGTTTGTATTAGTATAAACAACACACTACGTCATCGATGAATTTAAAAATTTTGTCTCTACATTTATATGCGAGGCCTAACGAAGTACTTTCGACACCTTCGGCATTCAATTTTTTTTAAATACAATTTTTATTAAAAACAATTTTTATGTAGATATATTATGTTTAGCAAAATATTTTATTCAAACTTCAGCCTCATTATATCAATCGGCTAAAAATGCGAGACGTCAAAATAAGAAAGTAAAGAAATAATGAAATAAGAAAAACGTATGATAAAATGACAGTTGCGGTAACTTTTAATATAAACTATTCACAATAAGCATGAAGATGCACAATAGAGGAAATCTTACCTTTCTTAAATGTCATAGATGGTTAGTCCTAAAGAAGACATTGTTAAGGGCAAAAAATACTTTAGTTTTGGTATTCTTTGGTTGAAAGAACGAAATGTATAACATGTTTGAGGAAAATGACTAATCTGTTAAATGTTAAACTAATGAGTATTTAATACTCATTACGTATTCAGTATACTGTATTGAATAGTCTTTGGTTTTGAATAAATCTTATCGTTCTATTGAAATAAGAATTTGTGACTTCAATTTTTTTAATTTTTCTTTTCTTTAAATTCTGGTCGCAAAATATTTATCTCTATATCTTTTCAATTAAATTGAATATTTATATTCAACTATTTGCTATTTTTTGAAAAATTTTATATAGAATTTATATAATAAATGAATATATTAATAATTTATAAATGTAAACATATATAATATTGTAATATACATATCTTAACAATTAAATTAAATTATCAATTTTAAATTGCAAAAGTAGAAGTCTTTCTCATGTACTCTTCATGTATATCTCCAAAGAATGCTATTAAATTAAAAATATTTATTGCATTTTCATAATTAATTAACCTATTATATAAGTTAACGAATATATGAGTTTTTGCTTCGTTGTATTTAACCAGAGAAGATCCTTCAAGTTTTTTTTTTGTATTTTCCATTTTATCATACAAATTTATTGTGAATAGTTTAAATGGGAAGAAGAAGAACTATTGCACGATCTTCAGTCTAGTGCTGTAACAACTTTTTGTTAATTGAAACTTGAAAATGGTTCTGTTCAAAAGATTTCCATGTATAATTACTAATGTTATAAAACAACGCCTTATGGCTACAGTGGCATTTGGTGATGAAGTTGTAGTTAATCGTTTAACGGGTCATCAGGAAGGCATCACTGTGCTTGGACTAAATCGGCCGGAAGCAAAAAATGCATTTAGCCGTGGTATGGTGGAGACATTTACAGAAATTATTAATGATATTAAATGTGATAATGCATCTCGTGTTGTTGTTTTAAGAAGTCTTACACCGGATATATTTTGTGCTGGCGCAGATCTTAAAGAACGTAAAACTATGACAGAAGAGGAAGTTGGTATATTTGTAACAAAACTACGTGGTTTATTGGTAAGCATTGAACAACTTCCTATGCCAGTTATAGCCGCGTTGGATGGTGCCGCTTTAGGTGGTGGCTTAGAAATGGCTTTGGCTTGTGACATGCGCACAGCAGCGGATAATGTTAAACTTGGACTTGTTGAAACTCGTTTGGCAATTATTCCAGGTGCTGGTGGAACTCAACGTTTACCTCGCATTTTATCACCGTCACTAGCAAAAGAATTAATTTTTACTTCACGTATTTTCAATGGAGATAAAGCTAAAGAAATGGGTATAGTTAATCATGTTGTAAAGCAAAATGAAAACAAAGATGCAGCTTATGTAAAGGCCATAGAACTAGCTGAGGAAATTTTACCAAATGGGCCAGTAGGCGTAAGAATGGCGAAACTTGCTATCGATAGGGGCATGCAAGTTGATCTCAAAACCGGTTATTCTATAGAAGAAATTTGTTATGCACAAGTCATACCAACCAAAGATAGATTAGAAGGTCTAAAAGCATTTGCAGAGAAGAGAAAACCTCAATACAAGGGTGAATAAATTTTTTAAAATAAAACCAATGAGCCAACTGACTAAGAGAGAGTGCATTTATTATTTTATTAAGAACTGAGTTCAATTGTTAATAAATTATTGTTATATTTATTTTAAAATAAATTTATTTTAAACTCAAAAGATTGATTTACAATTTTCATGAATAGATCAAGTTAAATAAGATTGCAACACAATATGTGGTTTAGTATACCATATAAATGCTCAAGGCACGTTGAAAATTTATATAAATATTTCATAGTGAATATAAATAGATAACACAGTTTATGGTATTAAATATGAATTAGGAATAACAATTAAGTATGGTTTTGATATGTCCTCAAAGGCTTTGTAAATAGACAAAAGTTTATTTAACTGTATACCTATAATATATAACTGCATTTTTTTTTAAAAAGCATATATTGGTTTGATATTAATAATTATTAGCAAAAACAAACTGTAAAGTTCCACAGTCCTATCCACAAGTATTTACATTTGTAGCAATTATGTTTTTTACCTTATTCTTGGACAAGACGTCGCTACTAATATGACAAAGTAAGTATCCTACAGACTGCAGAACGGTTTTGTTCTTTCGATCGTCCATAAGGATACTTTAACCACTGCTACCATCTCAACAAGATTAGTCCGCCTAAAGAAACAAAATGTATCTACCTAAAAGAGATAAAACTTTTAGTAGCATACTTTATAATTACCTAATTTTGCTCAAGGATAGAAGGGGGGTACTTTATCGGAAACTACTGGCATCGTCTGATATTAAGAAGTAAACATTATTGTCTTCATCAGAAAAATTAAGTGTGTTCTGTATATAACACTTATTATACAGATTATTAATTAAATAGAAATATTTAATCCCTGATTTGAAATATGTTTGACACGCTTTATCAATTTCTCTTTATTTTTTATCTGTTCATTTCTTTTTAACTTAAATAAGGCTTTTGACTCAGAACGTGCCCCGAATTTAAATTGAGATTTTTTAATGCCAACAAATAAATGTAAATCGAAACAACTGTAGTTAAAATACTATAATTTTTACTTCAGTTTAAGTATTACACAAACAATATGTATATATATATATTTTTTAAATAAATATAATAATATAATCGCTGTATTGTTTATATTGTATGTTGTAGAAGAGTTATATAAAATCTTTTTTGACGTAATAAACATGAAGCAAAAGTATCTTATTTCTGAATTTTAGCATTATGAAGTTTTATTTCAGTTTATTTCAAAAGTCGTAGCTATGCAAAAACCGCCAATAAGTTCCCTTATTACTTTTATTTCTTCGCAAGATCAGTTACCGAATGCTTGCTGAAATGGAACTCAGAATTAAAATTCAAAGCATCTGACAAAGCATACATTTTTGCTAATTACGATGATTAGTTTATTTAACAAAAGATTTCTTCATTAATTAAGTAATACAGTATTGAATACTCATTTTCTTTTTTTATTTTGTTGTTAGTATCGAACCTGGAGGAAAAATCTTCTAAAGATACAACTGGCCCGTACCATTTGCATGCTCGATTCATGCACGACTCAATTGAGTCATATATGCCTACGGACTAAAAAGTCCCCACATTCTTAGCTCAAAATCCTGGAAATCCCTGCAGTATGACCAGTTAAGGTATTCCTTTACAGCGCAGGTTAAGAGAGCAGTTAGCGTGCTTTCACTCCGATTTTGTACTAAGTACTTTGTCCGCTCTAACAATGTTTATTGTTCTAGAGATTATGCATTCTTCAATGCTTGCCAACATCTACATTACCATAGTAGAAGAGTTGGTTTCAACATTCAGTGTATCTAGATTCTCGGTTAATCCAAACTTTTATATTTGGAATTAACGAATGCCTCCATCTTGATTTTTGGGAATGATCCCACCTATGTTGCCAGTCATAAAGGTATTTGTCTCTTATTTTTAAAAAAGAATCTGACAGAGATTGTTCAGTTTCAGTCATTCATGGACGAGAGTCTTAACTGGCATACGTCCAGTTTTAATACTCTGACACCATCGTCCGAACTGTACGGTAAGCGCGGCAAATGCGTAAGTTTGACAATCTATGTGCACTTTTCATTACGCGTGAATACGACTTTATGGTTGTAGCATGCGCCCGCACAGGAGCAGCTTATAGCATTACCGACTTGGAAACTGATGTTAAAAGAATAAATACTCAATAAATACAATAAATACTTAAATACTAATTGACATAGCCTTTTCGTGTGTGCTAAAACAACTCTCGTCGTCATTTTATTAATTTCTTCAAAATGTACAAAACTTATTAATGCTCAATGAGGGCTAACATAATTATGTTATAAATATAAATTATGTTATTAACATTGCGTGCATGTTTTTTTACATTTTCAGTTTTAAATTTCACATTCACATTGAAAAAGTATGTAGTATAGAATATACATTACTATACAAGCTTATTTATTCAAAAATAGCAAGTTACACTAAATTGCAAGACATTTATTTAAAACTGATATATATTTTAAAAATTTTATTGATACAAATTAATTGTTTTAGATTAACCGGCCATTCAAGTTCATTGTTTTAGGTTAACAAGATTATTTTCTCTAAAGCGTGCAGATTGTCACAGAAAATGTTCTGCATTACGTGATAATAATTTATTAGTTTGTATCCTAAGTACGACCTTTCTACGTTGGGACTGTAAGTATTCAGAACGATTTTAAAACATTTTAATGTATAAATGTTGTATTTTTACAGTGGAGTCAATAATTGTAGTTCGTGGAGACCATTAAAATGAGGTAGCGATAAAAACACAACATGCAAAGATATAACGAACAGAGCCGGTCAAGTGTGTGACGAAGGGACGCACTCTACGTAGATAGAAATATTTCCTATTTAGTTAAAACCTGAGTTTTTCGTATCTATTAAATAGCAAATTGTTATTTGAAAACATTAAAGTATTCTTTATGTGTATGTAGCGGCAATAACTGAAGAAACATGTTTAGCTTTTGGTCTGTTTGACTTTTCGCTGAAACCAAAAACACTGCCAAGGTCAAAATAACAAGCAAAACTTGCCGTTGATCCTTTGCCAAGTCATAAGTGCATTGACATTCAAAGTAAGAACTCTTTAAGCCCTTTGTAAATTATTGGTTGATTATTGCCTTCTGTGTCCGGTCTTTTCTTCTCGTTTTGGTACAACATTTTACTTAACTCATTTCTTTTCGAGTTTAATAAAATGGTGTTTTTATATATGTATATTCTTATTCTGGCTGTAGGTCCCTTCTTGTTAAATAATAAAACTTTGATATTTTTTATTACACTCTACATTTCGTCTCTCCCTGAGAGTCATCACCAGGATTCCGAGTATAAGTTACTATTATTAAAAATGCATAAACGTCCTCCTCTTTGGTCTTTCGTCTCTATTATATAGAGTGTAATAAAAAATAACAAAGTTTTATTATTTAACAAGAAGGAACCTACAGCCAGAATAAAAATAAATATATTAAAAATTTTATAGTTTAATAAAATGTAAAAATAGCAGCGAGACAACAACGGCAACAACAGCTACAACAACAATAATGAATATAGCAGCACTCATGTTATATGAAGAATTGTAAAAGGATCGTCTGCTACACGCTTGCGCAACTTGACATGCTGCACTTGCGCGGTTTTGTCGTCTTCTGGGCCCTGAAGTCAAATTGTGTGTAGACTCTTTATTTACACACACAATTATTTAACTAAAAAAGTATCTCCTTAAACCAGGGTTTCAATTGCTGTGACTATTTGGATTTCTTGACTAATTGCTATTTCTATTACTAATAAAATAAAGAACCGAAATGCATAAGCAACAGCAAAAAGACAAACTGATTTCATTTAGATTGCTGGCTATTAATCGATTGAACATATTCGATCATTTATGCATTTGGAATATAAGCAACGTTGTCGCATAAACATTAGTCGCTTTTTTTTTGCTTTAAACGAATGTGTATAGATTTCTTCTATTTTGTTTTTGTTTTAAGGGAATGTGTATACATTACTTCTTTGTTGGTTTTGTGCATTATGCTAAATTTTAAGAAATGTATCTGTGTACAATTTGTACGCAAATAATATAATTTAACCTGTAATAAGATTATGCCTACATTTATATTTTAGGAATTATTTTTATATCTAAATACGATTTAATAATTATAATAGCATAAATGAGTAGTAATATGAATATTTAGTTTGGTAGGTTGTTTGATTTTTTCCTGTTATATATATAGGTATATATATATGTATGTTTATATATCTGAATACAAATGATATTTTTAATAACTACTTTTTATTGATATCGTTAAGTGATTGGTTTTGTGAATTGAATGAAGATATGCAAATAAATATATGTGTGTACATATTATACAATTTCTTTTGCTCATAAGGTTCTGTATAAGGCCTGTATAATGGAATGCGAGGGCCATAAAATAGACATTTTTCTTTCCAAAAAATATGTATTCATTTAGGTAGAGTATCTAACATTCATAAACAACAAGTAGCGGATTCTATTGTTTTGCTAATGTGAACTATAATACATAAAATACTGAAGCACTTTTCAGATTCGGAAAAGTACTTTCTACAATTTACCCAGTAGAAAACGGTACAGTCGTCATCGGAAATGGTAACAGATATAAATATATGGCAATCATTTTGACAATTTTGAACAAATCATTCAACAAAGTGATGGATGATGGATTGCCAACATTGTCTTGCAAGACCGCGTTTTTTACTGGGCAATAAACGTTATACGTATATATATACTAACACATTTACAAAACGTTGTTAAAATTTTTCTTAAGAACTTTGAAATTGAATAAATCTTAGCTGTTAGATTCATAGACAATATTATAATTATACATACATGCATTGTTTGATAATATAGAGTACTCATAATGTGTATCTAAATACTACAAACATTCTTTAACTTTTTTAAAGTTAATTATCAAAGTCAATGTACCTATACTCAAATTTGTAAGTAAAGTATATACTGTTTTACTCTATGGACTGAAACATATATTATACTCTTAATATAACTAACTATTGGTTTCAACTTTGATTTTTAAATAATATTTTTTACATAAACGCGACAATATGTTCTAATAAATTGTTATTACAAC